AAAACAGATTTCAGTACTTCAATAGGTTGGTATATTAACATTATATCAGTTAATGAAATTACGGTATTTAACTGTAAATTTAAGTTAAAACCGTAAAACCTAAAATGTTGCTTCCGTATTTTTTACGGTAAAACAGGCAAGCGCAGCTGCCGTTTTTTTACTGTAAATTTTACGGAATTTTTTTTTACAGTGTATATTAAAAGAAGACAAAGATTAAGCAAAATGTAAGATTATTGATGGGTTTATTTCAAGGCAACATGTGAAACAATATCAACTAGTTAAAGTAAGAAACAAGATGGTGCTGTGTAGCTGAGTAGACTACTCTTGCATAAGGGAAATAGACTGAAAGACGCATTGAGGCTGTTGATAGGCTAATGCATGATGCAACTGGTAAAGTTATTACACTTATATAATTTTAAGAAATATTTTGCGTTTTAGAGATCCGGAAAGCTGTAAAAGAAGCATTAAGATAATTTCAATCAATATAGCATAGGCTATAATATAGGCTAAACAATTCGTTTATTAATTAAAAAAGGCCCAGGTTATAACATGAAGTTGGTTTATCTGTCAGTCTAACTCCACGACAATGTCGCTTAACCAGGCAGAACTTCCCAGCTTGACTTTCACTTCCTCCAGACCAAAAACACTATTGTTATGATTGAGTCCGGTCACCAGTGCCAAAACCTAGGCCTAGCCTATCTCTTACGTGGAAATGACCTTTGTTTAATTATTTACTTAATTACTGATTTAATGTCACCTTAGCATCTTCATAAGCAAAACAGAAAATCATAGTTCATTTACTGTGACTAAAACAGAAAAATGCTGAGCACTACAGCCGGCCATTGCATTTAGTACTTTACTAAAATTACTAAAACAACAGAAACTGTCTCAAATTTATGTAGGTTATTTTTGGAGGATGTAAACATTTCAGTGCAGTGACCTTGTGTGACTTTAGCAAACTTCAAAATGTAGCCTAATTTTGCTTTTGAGTAGCCTAATGTGCTTTTGTACATACAATTAATAAAAATAAAAAAATAAATAAAAAATGGCAGTATGCACTAAGTAAGTGAAAATTAGTTTTTGTGTAATGCAGTATAAATAATATTCAGTTGTTATATAGTACAGTGTTGTTATTGTTAACTAAAACGAAGAATATACATTTTTTTATTATTTTTTTAATTATTTGAAATTAAGCTGAAATTAAAAAATATATATATACACTGAACAAAATTATTTCAAAATGTAGCCTAATTTTGCTTGTGAGTAGCCTAATGTGCTTTTGTACATACAATTAATAAAAATAAAAAAATAAATAAAAAAATGGCAGTATGCACTAAGTAAGTGAAAATTAGTTTTTGTGTAATGCAGTATAAATAATATTCAGTTGTTATATAGTACAGTGTTGTTATTGTTAACTAAAACGAAGAATATACATTTTTTAATTATTTTTTTTTCATTATTTGAAATTAAGCTGAAATTAAAAAAGTATATATACACTGAACAAAATTATAAACGCAACTCTTTTGTTTTTGCCCCCATTTTTCATGAGCTGAACTCAAAGATCTAAGACTAAGAATATACATTTTTTAATTATTTTTTTTCATTATATGAAATTAAGCTGAAATAAAAATAAAAAATATACTGTATATATAAAATTAAAAAATTTAACTTAAATTTAAAAATATAAAGCGATAATTGTAAGTGTTGCCTTGGCAAATAACTGAAAAAAAGTTTAAATGAAAAATAGTTATTAAATTACTCACTCAAACTGAAATAAAATAAATTAAAGCTAAATAGAATTATTAAAAAAATACAAAAAATGACAAAAACACATAACAAAATTATTAAAACTTAAAGGGATAGTTCACCTTCAGTTGCTGGTACCCATTGACTTGCATAGTTTTTTTTTTTCCCATGCTATGGAAATCAATGGGGACCAGCAACTGAAGGTGAACTATCCCTTTAAACAAAAATATAAAGAAAAACACATTCAAATTAAAAAATGTTAATAAATATTAATAGTATAATAAAAAATAAAATAACACTGATACAGTATTATGAATATGCATTATAAAACAATAGCCTAAATGAAAGACAAGACAGCAAGTAATATTAAAATAGCTCACGATACAATAATTGTTGATACATTGGCAGCATGATTTGACACAACTGACACATTTTGCCACTGTGAGAATAGAAGAGCAAAACAGTATGTAGCATGAGAGTTTTACAGGCCCTGGTGAATCCCTCCCCTGCTGCAGGGCTCTCCCTATAAAAAGAAAAAAAGCCCAGGTCTGGATTCAGCAGACAGCAGGAGGAAATCCCCATGTTTCAAGGAAGTTGTTTTGGAATATACATGCATGAGTACCGTGGAAGAGAAGAAATACTCTGAGATCAATGATCTAATCAGTCAGATCCCAGCACAATGACGTCTGAACTCAGGAAGTTCAGACAGACAGAAGTTTTTCACTACATAAGGCTGATTGTCTCACTTCCTCACAAGGTATACAATCTGAGAATGATTTGAGGCATGGCATACTGTAATTAAAGTTCTAGTGAAAAACCCTTAAGTCCCATGAGGAACAGTTCAGAGAATATAGACGTCACATTTTCTACGTCAGTTTTCAAAAAATGTTTTTTTATCATTCACTGCACAGTCTAGGGGGCTTGTTGTATAAAACTTGTCTACAAATTACAATAAAAGTAGAATATAAAGTCTGTATGTGTTCAGAGTGCAATGATTGACAAGTATGCAAAAGATACAGATATACAGTATGACAGATTCAGCAAAAACACCAGTATGAAAATACATCTACTGTACATGTGTGTAGAGTGAACTTCAATAGTTACACTACACTAATCACTAGACTAGCAGTGGCAAATTAAATAGGATGCAAACACTTCCTTTTCTCAGTCTGTCACTTTGATGCATAGGCTATTTTAAGTAGGTGCTAATTGACAGCTATGAGTATGTTTGGGAGTTTTTACAGGTTGCTTGCTACATAAGAACACAACCTTTAAACTTTGTTGAACTCTTAATGTGTTTGTTAAATGCTTGAAAGTTTATTCAAGCATTTCAAAGAGAATTGATTTGGGAAATTAAAATACTAATTCGTCCCCCAAATTATGTGTCAGTTTCATAGTTTGCCAAAATACGAAAGTTAATAGTTCATAATTAAAAATCATAGTTAGAGATTTACATTTTCACAAAGGTTCACAATGTTGGCTGGTCTAGTTTGTACCTTATTTAAAGTCCAGTTTGTCTTTTACAGCGTCGTAGTGATTTGTTTTATCGGTACACTGTTTTACATCTTTCAGACATATTTGGATATCCGTGTTTTATTTTACTCGTCATATTTGAGAGTACAACCATCTATATATCGAGACAACAGCACAGAAAGACATAATAGATATGTCATATGTGTTTAATGACTCTACAACTGAGAAATATGAGAAGTCATCTTCATGCCTTGTAATAAATACACATGCCACATAGGCTACCAAGTTCTCAGTCACACAGACATAGCTCTTTTCCTCTTTTCAGACGTCTGCAAACCTCAACCTAAATCAGTTTACTATTTGCCAGCAATTGATGGGTGATGTGACATATGTTTTGATCTCCTGAAGTCCAATGAAGAAACATGGATCACAGAAAGACAGGCTACATATTCCTCGAGGTAATACGATTATTTATTTATTTAATTCTGTTTTTTTAATTGTGAGTAAGAATGTTTTACTTTTGGTCATTTCCAGTATTGCACATGATAAATATTTTTTGCAACACTCAGTGCCTATATGTCACGAATCCAGTCCATGCACTTCCGTTCGCTCACCACCTGAGATCACCCACTCACTTCTATGGACTCTTGCACCACACTACTGTTGCACTTCACCCGGACTACAGTTCCCATCATCCATTGCACTGATTACACACACAGCTGAATGCACTGATGATTACACACACACAGCTGAATCCAATCAGACATGCTACATAAGCATATCGCTACCCTAGTCGATAGCTACTTTACAGAGCCAGTTCCCATTCCTAGTTTGAGTTCTAGTTGTCTAGTCTAGTCTCGTCTAGTTTCCTGATTGCCTGTTTCCTGATTTTCGCTTGTCCTGGATTATCCCTCTCGTCTCGCCCTGTTCGAATACTGTTTGCCCCTCGCCTGGACCATAGCCTGTGTTTCGTATTAACCCTTTGGAATACCCTGTTTGGACATTGTTCGCCGGAGATCGACCACGCCCGCTCACTGGACTACTCTTGTGTCTTGCCCTCTATATACCTGTTTGCCATTATCTGACCCTTGCTTGTTTTGACTTTGTTCTAGATGAAAAGCTTTGCATATGGATCCGCACGCCTCTCGTCTCGTCAGCAATATAAACATTGCAGAAGTAATGCAATATTCTTTAGATCATGCATGTGCATCTGTGTATTCCTGCACCAGTAAGCATTAAATATTGCAATCATTGACCAGAAATGACTATTAGCACACATCTGAGCACCAAAAGTAAATTTTTATTCCTGTTTGTGCAACAATTTCTTGCTTGAATATTGAAATTATGAACCAGAAATGACTATTAGCGCACACTGGAGCACCAAAAGTAAATTTGGATTTAAAAAAACAGTTGATTGTTGACCGATTAAACTGCAGAAAGTGAGGGGGACGTTAATGTCATGAAACCTGACAAGAAATGTCCAGGTTCAAAATCTAAAGGAAAATAAGAAATAATATTTTGCTTAAAGAAATGACGATTATTCTTAGGACCATTTATTTATTTAGGATATGATTAATTTAGGATTAAATTTCTTTATACAATATATTATACAAAAAATTCCTACTTTGCATTTTCGGCCGAAACATAACTTGTATATGTTTAAATGAGATTCACTAAGTTTTCCATGTTGGAAAAATGTAATTTTTACATGGTCATTGTTAATGTTTCCCAGACAGAGCATTTAATGAAGATGATTGCAACGCTGTAGCATTTGCATAGATTTAAGTGAAAGGTAAAGAGGTGTATAGTTCCTTCAGCTGCCGCAGAGTCGAGGTGAGGTGAACTTTGCCCTCTCGCTGAGTGTTACACGTGACCTCGCTGACCTTCAGGGGACTCATATTCAGATCAAAGATGAGGCTGTAGTTCTGTATCAGGCGTTTGGCTTGCTCTCTATCCACATAACCTGAAAACAGTGTTGAAACCATCATTTCATTGTACAGAATTTGATTATTGATTTTAGTCTATCATTTTCTATGAGTCGCAGTGTTTCAAATCACTTTATAATGTGCTTCAGACTGACTGTATTTGTATGATGGGTTTTATACCTGTGTTTTTGGTGTCACACATTTGTAAGGCCATCTCCATCTTCTGGAACCTCTGAAGCCATGTCTCTCTTTGTTCTGCATTTATATCGCTCCTGTCGCTCACTGATTCCAGGTCAGTACTGACCACTGACGCATCCCAGATCTCTGCCTGAGAGGATCATGTTCAAAAACATCCATTAAAATATGTTTTTCTATTTCAGAAAGCTGCAGACCGTATGAAATGATAATAATCTAGTTAGTTTTCAAGACCTCAACACTTTGCTCTTTCACGTCTTGTACAGCTTTCTGTATGAACTGCAGCAAGTATTGATAGTGCACCTGCAAAGCAGCATGGTAAAGTAAAAAATCACTTCACATGAAAAATGACAAGCTTTAATGAAAATAATTCATATATAAAACCATATATGCATAAAAGCACTTTAACTATAATTTGAAATAGTATAAATTGATCTTATAATTAATATTTACATTTAATTGTGAAAATGTATGTAAACGTGTCTCATATTTATTTAAAAGCAAAAATAATAAAAGTAACAAAATGAAATGTATTAAATATTATCTTTCTCAGAAATTGAACTAAACCATATAAAAACTATTTTTTCATTCATTTAATTTAAAGATTTTGAGATTTAATGATCTCATAAAAAACACATACAAGTCATATTTCATCCCAAAATAAAGGGGAAATATATATATATATATATATATATATATATATATATATATATATATATATATATATATATATATATATATATATATATATATATATATATATATATATATATATATATATATATATATATATATATATATATATATATATATATATATATATATATATATATATATATATATATATATATATATATATATATATATATATATATATATATATATATATATATATATATATATATATATATATATATATATATATATATATATATATATATATATATATATATATATATATATATATATATATATATATATATATATATATATATATATATATATATATATATATATATATATATATATATATATATATATATATATTGCAAAAAGAAAATAAACCTATTTTTATTACCAGTATGCCTGCTTAATTGTCATGATAATGTCATAATGATAAATAAATAAATATTTTTTACAAAATGGAAAACCGGGTAAATCTAATAAAAACACATAAGTCACGTTTCATCTCAAAATCTAAAGAAAAACGAAATTATATTTTGCAAAAAGAAAATCAAACTTATTTTTTACTTCACATGAAAATGTCACAATGATAGATGAATAAATAAATAAATATTTTTTACAAAATGGAAATTAATACATTTCATCTCAAAATCTAAAGAGAAGAAATTATATTTTGCAGAAATAAATTTAAATCTATTTTCATTACCAATATGCTTAATTGTCATGAAAACAACGTCACATGATAAATAAAATAAATAAATAAATAAACAGGTTAATAATGAAAACAGTTAGTAGTGTGTAGTGTAATATGTAACTTGTATTTGAAATGAGAACCATTAATTAATTCAGCAAGTTTAGATTTCTGATTTAATCAATGGGTTTCATTTTTGCTGAGCGCATATGCCACCAAAATTGTACAATGACTTAAATAATATTATTTGCTGTAATTCCCAAAGGTTCTGCTGGTTACTGATCTCCAGTACCTGCTCCGGGTCGGTGGTGTTACTGAAGCATCTGAACATGCAGGCCAGTGTGGTGAGCTTCAGAGGGAGCTTCAGTCTGAGGAAGAGACCCGTGAGTTCTGACTGATGGATGATTCCTGATCGGGACGGATCGAGTGATGTCACTTCCTCCTCCATGATCTGGAATATTTGTGGTTCCAAATCCTGCAGTTCCTCTGAGACAGATGAGAGGAGGCAGAACTCTGGACTGGATTTAATTGGCTCCTCCGTCTGGACATGTTGAGTAAGATTTGTTTTTAGAGAGATTTTCATTTTAATTTAGTATTCACTACCATTCAAAAATTTGGGGGAAGTAAGAAATTAATACTTTTTTTTCAGCAAGGATCGATCAAATGTGTCGATCAAATGTGATCATTTATAATATTACATTCATAATGTAAAGGATTTCTGTTTCAAATATATAATGCTCTTTTGAATTTGCTATCCTAAATAATGTGTCACAGTTTCCACAAAATATGAAGCAGCACAACTGTTTTCGATATTGATAATAATAAGAAATTATTCTTGAGCAGCAAATCAGCATATTAGAATAATTTCTGAAGGATCATGTGACACTGAAGACTGGAGTAATGATGCTGAAAATTCAGATTTACATCACAACAATAAATTACATTTCAAAAGAGAAAAAAAGTTATTTTAAATTGTAATAATATTTCACTATGTTGCACTTTAAACTGTATTTTTAAACAAATAAATGCAGCCTAGGTGAGCAAAAGAGACTTATTTCAAAAACATAAAAACGTTCCGACCTCAAACTTTTGAACAGTAGTATAGCTATATATACTTACAGTACAAGTTGATTAAAGACAGCATGCACATTATATCTTACCTGATCCTCTGTAATATGAGGATTTTGCATGATTCGTTTTGAGTAACCCATGTTGGTTGTGGACTTCAGATGTATGTAGGACCGTGAACGATCGCCACATGGTGCCGTCACACAACGTCTGTCTGGAACCTGAATCATTACCAAACTATTAGCATCCAGCCATCTTCTGCATGAGCTTCAGACTATATAGCACATTTGTTCCTTCTCGTAAATAATGGGAAGTGTATTTCAGAACCCTGAACATCTTGATTGGTTAGTACCAGGCTTCAGCACCATGGACAGTGCAATCATTTGACCTCAAAAGTCATCTGAAAACTGGCCAGTGACAACCACACAGTAGTAAACAATGCAAAATTACTGTGAGTTTGCGAGGTGGACATTACGTTTAACATTCAGTGTAGTTTATGCTGTAGCTGATTTTTTTTAGTACCTGTCCGAGGGCATCTAACAGGTTTTCTGTGTGCTCAACTGGTCTCAGATGCTCCAGGTCATGACAAGGTGATTTTCTGCTTAAATCTCCATCCGTGACTCTGATAGGTGGACTGTGTCTGTCCTCCGAGCAGTTTGTTACCTCAAGATGATCTGTGGGACTATATATAATAATAAATGTATTTGCATATTTTTTATTATTGTTAATATTAAATATATAATGTTAAATATAATGACAATTGTAAATGGCATTTTATTTTATTTTATTTGTTATCCTGCACCATTTGTGCTGTGGGAAAAAAATTTAATTATATATATATATATATATATATATAGATGATATTTCCCCCCATTTTAAATTCTTATTCTCCAATGAAAGGTTAGATTTATGTGAATTTTTAAAATAAAAGATCAAAATTATTAACAATGCAGATTTATTTTCACAGCCTTCTTTGATCATATTTACCAAGGGCGCCAATAATTCTGACCACGACTGTATGTGTATATTGGGCAAAAGGATTTGAAAAGGAATTGCATGCTTAAAAATGTCTGAGTGTCATTGCATTACATAACAAGCTCACAAGAACTGACTTCACTTTCCTGAGGCATTTTGTCAGTGACTTTAAAGATTATAAATCTATCAAATACTTTAATGTTGTAACTCTCGTTGGTGTTTGAATGCTGAAAGGAAGCAAAAGAAAACATTTACTTACCCACTAACACTGAATCTCTGCTTTTTGTGTCTTTCAGGTCTATAAAACAGCTCTCTTAAACAGACCAGCGCCCTTGTCCTGAGCTGATATGTGTCTGAGATATCCACTCACCGGCAGCAATATCCACAAATAAGAGCACAGCCTGTTCTCTCAAGGGTTCTCTGTGGTCTCCAGGGGTATAATCTCAACTGTGCCATGGTTACCCGACCAGCCCAACCTCTCTGCCAAAGCCACTTCCAGTACATGCACAGATAAGAGTGATTTATTAAAGTCCACTTGTGAAAGAAAGTCATTCTGCCTGACTACACAATGATAAGGTAAGTACATGGGTTTTAAAAGCCTAAAAATGGTCTTCAACCTTACTGAATAGCGATGGTAAATGGAATTTTATATTCTTAGTTTTTTTATTATTTTTTTCTATTTTCTATTCTTATTGTTATTTGTATTATATTTTATTATATAGTTTTTTTATTTTGTCCTACAAAAAAAAAAAGAAAAAAAAAGATAATAATAATAAATTTATATTATTTTATAAAGAAATTTATTTTTAGAATATTTATATTTTGCATAAGCTTATATTATATTATATTTTATTTTTAATTTTTTTGCCTGACCATACAATTATAAGGTAAGTAAATGGGTTTTAAAAGCCTAAAAAATGGTCTTCTAGCTTACTAAATGGCAATGGTTAATGGCATATTTATTTATTTAGTTATTAAATGTTTTTATCCTACCAAAGTACTATAATAATAATAATAATAATAATAAATGAATAAATATTTGTTTATTTTTTAATAATATTTATTTTTTGAATAAGCTTATTTTATTTTATTTAAAAAACATTTGTTTTGCCTGACTAGTGACTACACAATGATAAGGTAAGTAAATGGCTTTTTAAAGCCTAAAGATAGGCCTTAAGGTAGTCAAATGGAATTTTATTTAATTTAATTTTACTTCATTTTATTTTTATCCTGCACCATTTGTGGTGTGGACAATAATAATAATAAATAAAACAATAAAAATATTTTGTATAAATTTGAATATAATACATGTTTACAAGTTCCTTAATTTTAAGTAGTCTGCCAATATGCTAACTCTAACTCAATAAATAAATAAATATGTAACACACTTGTAAAATATAAATTAATTTAGGCCTTTATGATTCAGTTGTTTAGCTGTCAAGGCCGGTGATATGAACCACCACCTCTAGGGGGCGACCTAACACAGGAAGTAGACATTTCATTCCCAAGCTTTCAAGTGAGCACTGGCAGTGCTTTCAGGTCAAGTTGACATTAGTAATTAACAGCACATTCCTCAAACTTGAAGATTTATTTATTGTTTTTTAGTTCCATGGCAGATGAAGTCTTCTAGCTAGTGTTCCCATCACACTGATCATATCAGATCCATTCTGTCAGAGTGTGATTATTTTATCTATCAGGATAAATTACTAGTCTGTAATTTATTTGATGGAAGTAAAGCTGCTAATAGAATCAGTTTTAATTTTAGCACAATTCTTGATAAGCTACAGGGACATACAGACAGGTAGAATTGGATTAAATACCCATGGAAGACCTCAAACCGGTTTATCCGCTGTCTTGGATTGAAACGTGAGCGCAGAATGTGCTTCTGATTGGACTTTCAGTGGTCAAATAAAAGGCCAGCACGTGGTGGATGAAGAACACAAGTCTAATAAGCGCTGCAGTTCCCTATTTTGTTTGATTTGTGCAAATTAAGGCGTGAAAGTGGCTCTTAATGGATGCGGAATTAGCCAGTTTTAGGGAGCATCAGTAGTCGCGCCACATCCCAGTGTTTCTGCCTTTCTAAACGGCTTAACACGGTTGAAGTGTGAAAGTCAGACGGCTAATTCTGATCTTAATGATCAAAATGCGATCCAGCAGTCAGAGGCTTGGATTCCCTCCGTCAAAGGAGCATAAAATCACAGTGCTAACACACAGAGTTCACTCCAACTTCAGAGGCAGGCAAAGACAGCGAAAAAAGCCAACAGAAAGATGAAAGAGAGAGAGAGAGTTGGTTAGAGATCTGGGATGGCAACTGAAAGACTGTAGGTTCAAACCTCACAAGAGGTGATTTAGGCACTCTGCTGAGGCTCTAATCTTTGGTTAAGGTCCTTAATGAATGTGTAAAGATTCTGATTGGAATTCTGTCAAAATTTACAATCAGTCCTGCGGGATCAGATAATAAATCCTCTTAGATTTAAAAAAGGTGCAACTGGATTATTACAGGATTTTTCTAGTGAATAGCCTTTATCAGAGCCTTGCTTGTTGTATTTGAATAATATACTTTTGTTATATTGGAATGCTCTTAGGAAATTCACATTCCTTCTGGATTGCTTCCAAATTATGATAATAAAAAAATAAATCTGACTAAAAATAGTGGAAGTGGTGTCAGGATTGCTATTGCTCATCGTGCACAACACCCTACCATTGATGTGGTGAGATTTGCACAGGTCAGAAAAATTACATTTTTATAAATTGCCTGCTTAATTCTATGGACATCCTAGAAAAAACTGCTGGAAAATTGGAATTCATGAACAAACATATTTTTTTAGATAAAAAGAAAAAGAGTGGCAAATTGCATGAGAGACTTCCTTTTATCTAAACAGGGCCATGAAATTCAGAGAAAATATTCATCCTTGTCCTCCTGAGTCAACTGTTTTTTTTTTCTTCTGCGACTTAATCTATTTAAAAAAATTTTATTTCATATTTCTTTATTTATTATTCTGTAACAAGATTTATAAAAAAAATAACCTGCAATGTACAGAAAACTATATTATAAATAAATATTAATAAAATAAGTTTTGTTTAAAATCTAATTGGTTTAATTTGATAGATTTAAAGGTTAATATTTAGGTATAAGGAAGAATCTCGTGCAATCCCTGTCATTCTTTTTATCTTTGAAAATGTGTTTGCTCAAGTTTTACACTACTGCAGCAATTTTTTTCTTCAAGGAGAAATCTACTATTTATTTGTTTGAAGCAGGATTTATAAAAACTGTACTATAAATAAAGATTAATAAAATAAATATTTTATTTTATAAAAAAATATTTATTTTATTTATTTATTACTTTTATCTATTATTTATTTGTCCTTCAACAGGGTTTATAAAACTATCTTGTCTGGTGACAAAAGACTAAATCTTGATTGAATTGACATGATCTGAGCATTAACTTTGCATCAGAGACCTCTGAACATCCCATGGAGATTTTGAGTTTGTAGTTTTTGTAGTTGCTCTGAATAAGCGCATCTGAAATGCCTTGAATGTAAATGTTACTCCAAAAGAACTGTCTTTTATTATTACTGTAAGTCACTGTAGATAAAAGTGTCAAAGAACTGACTAAATAATGATTAGTGTGAGTCCATTTGAATGTGCATCTGAGTGTAAGAATAAGTTGATGGAGGTTGTGACAGAAGCGGCATGAGAGGATTGAAGTGTGTGATAGAAAGAGAGTGATGTATAAGAGGAAGGTGCTGTTTAGACTGACAAGGTGATGAATCACCACTTTCATCCTTTTTATTTCATCTGACGACATCCCATTATCGTCCACACCCTCGCACGCTTACACATACACTGTATCAGTACGGCATTTCTGTAGAGACGAGCCATTTAAACATTTGTGTGTGTGTCTTTGTGCTGTACAATGGGACATAATATGTCTTTGAAACATGGAGAAAGAGGAAAGCGAATTTGTTGCATTTCCCTGACATTTTTCATATGATGCGATTTAGCATGTTTTCATGAAACTATGTGTCTGTTCACAACATTAATCACGTGAGTGTGTTTGCTATCTTGCAGACAGACTGATAGGGCTGAAATGAAGATGAATGAAAACCATGAGGCCCAAAGCAGTCGCATTGAAACATTTATCTCAGGATGGTTTATTTAGTCATTTTTATTTCACTTTTACTCTCTCATCATCGGAAGTATTTCCATTCATGCTTGTAGGCCTTACAAACGCAATGTCATTCTGGTTTTGCTCGTGTGGAATGATAAATCTTCGGAGATTCTGTTTAATGTGTTTCTATCAGGCTGAAATCATAATGATATGTTTAACGGTGTCCTGATAAGGCTGGTTGAGCATTAGCGAGGATGGGATTTCTCTGTGGTTTGAGACTTTCCTGTGCTGTAATCTCGTATCAAGATTTCAAGTCGTCTCATTTCAAATGCAGACACAGGCTGCTCTGTCTCGCATGACATTTTAGTGTTTATTTAGCTGTTAGGACAACCAGTGTTCATTATTCAAAGCATTTATGATTACAGCCTCATTTGTGGAGTTCATTTTTGTGAGAGATCTCGTCATGAGCAAGTTCTACCTTTCTGATTGTCCAACTCATAACCTTTAACCAACTAAAATCGAGTTTATATCTTGCAATTCTGACTTTATAACACGCAATTATGACTTTATATCCTGTAATTCTGACTTTATATCTAGCAATTGTGAGTTTATATTTCAATATTCTGAGAAAAAAAGTCTGAATTAGAGGTTATATCACACGATGCATAGATGTTAAGAAAAAAAAGTGTTACCAAAGTTTGTTAAAACATTAAAAAAAAAGTTACAGTAAAAACCAAACCGGTGTTTGTTACGTTATTGTGTATTTTAGCAAAATTGAATTTTTTATTGATCAATCAGCATCCAGGATCAGAACTCAGATCTGTTTTGTAATCGCTCATTATTACACGTGGATAATGAATGATTCTGGACGGATGTGTTTCCCAACATCTCTATCAGTGTAATGTATTCAGCACAGCGGATTTTCCCCGCCATAATCTCCTTGTTTTTGTCACTCTTGTTGAAGAGTTCTGTTGCGGCGATCTGCGAGACGGTCTCTAATTGATCAGCTTGACAATTAAACACAGAACAAGGCCTGTCTCTCTGTTCGTCTCTCTCTCTCTCTCACACTGTCTGTCTGTCTTTGTATGTCTGGCAGCAGCCGCTCTGAATCAGGTTATCCTCTGACAGATAATGGATGTAGCCGGTATCTAAGCATGCTCCCCAAAGCCAGTTCAATCCCTCCAACAAGATAAAGCAGACAAATTACGCAGCCCCCAAAAAAACTGGCAGGAGGAGAGCCAGAGAAAGAGGCGAGGATGTAAAGAAAGAGAGGACACAGGTGAGAGAACAAATGTGCTTAGAGATTAATTGATAATTTGGTGTGCGATTCTCTCGTCGTTAACC